CTTTCTGACTAACCTTTGGGGGGAAAAATTCTGCAACTCTCCCATTCTAAAAAGCCTACTGGAAGGGAGCAAACTACATTCTAGCATTCTGAATGATAACTGTTTTAATTGTTCAAAAGTATCAATACTTAATAGCGATTTATTTGACAAGTTGAGAACTTCCAGCCATCCCTCAGTCTTGGTTAGAAAATAATTGTGGACAACAGGCTCAGACAGTCTAGTTTAATTATGACGTAAAACAAGTTGGGTGGGGTAGGATCAGAAAGCTGGCATTGGGACCCCTGGCGGCTGGCAGTCTTGGTAGTGTGGGCCTGGGAATGGGAGCAACCCTTCCCCTCCAAGGCAAGGCACAGGCTATTGGCAAGGAGAGATGAGGGTAGGACTCTACTGTCAGACATGCTCAGGGAGGCCAGCTGAAGTGCATGCAATGTAGGGACCATTCTGGCAACTTGAGGTGGAGGCTTCAGGCTGTTCGCAAAGGCTTGTGGTTCACCTGGAAAAAGGGACAACAGTAGATGACACTTGGGAGCCAGATTTAGTCTTCTCCCAGGCCCCACTGGACAAATGGGTTGCAGGGAGGATATGCATTTCCAGGAGTCTTCTAGTTTTTCTGGCACCCTACCTCACCCTTTTGCCAAGCAGTCCCATGTATAACAATAAATTGCTGTGCGTCAACATGGATGGACCAGAGGGTATTATGACAAGTGAAATAAGAAAGACAAACACCATATGATCTCACTTATATGTGCAATCAAAAGAACAAAATGAACAAAAACCCAGGCTCAGATACAGAGAACAAACAGCTGGTTGCCAGAGAAGGGGGGGCATGGGGGGAAGCGAAGGAATTAAGAAGTACAAATTGGTATTTACAAAATAGTCATGGGATGTAAAGTACAGCATAGAGAATATAGTCTATAATATGGTAATAACTATATGGTGCCAGGTGGAGACTAGACTAATCGGGGGGGGATCACTGCATAAATTATATAAATGTCTCACCACTATGCTGTACACCTGAAATTAATAAAAAATGTCAACTGTAATTGAAAAATTAAAAAAAGAAAAGTCTAAAACTCAGAAGCAGAGAGTAGAATGGTCATTGCCAGGAGCTGGAGGAAGGGAAATGGGGAGGTAATGGTCAAAGGGTATAAAGTTTTAATTATACAAGATAAATTCTGGAGATCTGCCACACAGCATAGTGCCTATAGCTAACGACACTACTATATACTGAAAATTTGCTAAGATCTTTTTTGCTTAATCTTATGTTAAGCGTTTTTATCACAAAATAATAATGGGAGGAAACTGGGAGATGAATATTACTATAGCCTTGATGATGGTGATGGCTTCACGGATGTATATTTATCCCAAACTCATCGAATTGTAAACATTAAATGTATACAGCTTTTTACATGCCAATCATATTTCAATAAAGTGGTTTAAAACAACAAACCCAATGAATTACTGAAAGGGTGTGGAAGGAGCCAGAGCTCTGCTTGCACAAGACCCTCCATAGCTCCCAATCTTCCACGGCAGGCCTCCAGGAGGCTCCAAGGAACCCAGCTTGAAGGTCACTGAAATGGTCCAATGCTTGTATTCATATATGTATTTTTTACTTAACACACTTGTATATAGTACTTACTATGTGCCAGTGTTCTAAACACTATGCAAATATTACTTATATGATCCCCTTAACACTTCAACAGGGTAGTTGCTATTATTAGCTGGTGAGGAAACAGGTACAGAGAGCTTGGGAACTCCAAGATCACGGCTATCACACATTGGAGCCAAGATTCATTCACACCGAAACAGTCTGGTTCCAGAGTCCACTCTCTGACCTCTACCATAACCTACAGGTGAATAAACAGGCACCAAGGAAGGCGGTGACATGCCTTGGAATTAAATGTCGACAGGCTGCAACCAGCTTCCTGTTCTAGGGATAGCCGGCCTGGGCTGGGAGCCCAGCTTTCCCAGCTTTCTGACGTGGGCTAAGCTGTGTAACACACTGGAGTTCTGTTTCTTAACTCTGTAAAATGCTACATACTTCAAGAGTAGTTTGATTTTTAAAAACTTTTAACAAAAACCATTTGTGTAGAAACTCAGCACTGTGTCTGGCACAATGAAAGCAATTAATACATGTCAACATGCTGGGCATACCGCATCACGTGCCCCAGAAACCCAGCTATTCTGCTCCACAGCCCCCACCCAAGACCCTCACCTGGGAGATGCTGATGCCGGTGAGTCTCTCCACACTCTCTGGCAGGCGGGTCAGGATGTCCAGTACTTCTCCGGTTACTTTGGCTGCCCCTACAGCCCCACTTCCACTGGACACCAGTGTGATCTTATTGGCTGAGGTCAAGGGACCACTGATCTCTTCTGCCACCTGGTGGGTGAGATGCCCACTCAGCATCTGTGATCCGATCACAGCCCTCCTAAAACGCCTTACCCTGCATTTTAAGATCCTCGTCCTACTGACCATGCCTCCTCACTTTGGTCACTGGCTTATAACTCCCACCCCTAATTTACGATCCCCTAGCTGGGTTCTCCTCAAGCCCCTCACTTCCCCCACTCCCATTCCCTGGCTCTCCTGGTGCCCACACAAGCTCCAAACCTGGGGCAGCTTCTCCAGCAGCATGTCCAGCTGGGCAGCCTCCTGGTACAGCTGGAACGCTTCTGCCTTCTTGGCCATCTGCTCAGCCTCTGCGCGGGCTCGGGCCCCTATGGCAAAGGCCTCAGCCTCCCCACGCATCTGAGGAGGACACAGGATACTGTGATAATGATGGCAGCAGTTAAGCACAAGAAGCCCCAGCTCAACAGCAATGCCCACTTCCCCCACAAGCCAGCAAGAGCCACCTCCTAACTCACCCGCACAGACTCAGCTTCCGCCTCTGCCTGCATAATCAGCTGGGACCTGGGCAAACAAGGGGAGTGAGGGAGCAGCTAAGGGAGGTCCTTGTTCCTGGGGGAAAGCCCGCACCCCTCACCCCCGGTCCCATGCTGGGGGTACAGGCTCCTGCCACCTGAGCCTCTGGGCCAGGGAGGGGGCGTTTACTTCTCTGCCTCCGCAAGGCGCTCCAACTTGAAGCGCTCGGCTTCCGCGGGCTTGCGCACACGGGCCTCCAGCTCCTTCTCTCTGCGGGCGATCTCCTGCTCCTGCACTGCCACCTGCTGGGCCCGCTCCACCACCTGCACCTGTACCCGCTGCTCCTCGATCTGCTGCTTAGTCTTGGCCACCTGGGGAGGAGGGAAGCTCAGCGTCAGAGCTGAAGAGCAAGTGCACAGGAAACAGAGAAGCCAGGGCAGGGCTCCAGGGTGGGACATGAAAACAGCAAGCACATGGAGTCCATCCCCAGTTGGCTCGGCCGGCCCGAGGAGTCCATTTCTGGTACAGAACCAGGGTGGCCTGATCCTCCTCAGAGATGGTCCCTCAGGCAGCCTGTGTCAGAGCTGGCTAGGGCTGGGCCCCAGTCCCTGCGTCCCTCAGGCCAGATGCAGTGTCCCTCCATGAGCTTACTGTTTTTCCATCCTGTGTCCCTCTAGTGTGAGCACCTGGAGGGCCCTGAGCACCTTGAGGCCATCTCCTACCTCTATTCTCTCTCAGATCCATCCCCTTCTCTCCATCTGTGCTGCTGCAACATTAGCGCAAGCCGCCTTCAACTTCAGTCCTGACTACAGCAGTAGCCTCCTACTGACTTTTTTAGGGGCTGGGTGTGGGTGCGTGTGTTATCTTTTTCATTTTTTTTGGTATAGGGTACAAATTCAAAAGGAAAAAAGTAAACAGCGAGAAGTAAGGCTTCCTCCCACCTATTACCTCAAACTACCTAGTTCCTTTCCATAGAAGAACCATTGTGACCAGCTTCTTGAGTTCCTTCCAGGAGCACTCTACAAGCATTTGCAAGAATGTGTAGATACAGAACGCCTATTTAGGCAGATTTCATTTTCTTATTCTTTGTAGAGTGCAGGGAGCAGAACGCTCTTGCCGAGTTGCCAACTCGTCCCACTGCTCAGCTCAGCCATGCACCATCATCCCTGTGGGTCTCACCTACATGAGATGGTGCCCCTGCCTTTACTTGGCTCATCTGTTCACTCCAGCGGAAGGGTGCTTCTGGATATGGCCCCTGTACTGTCTTCGACTTAAAAACGGCAAGCCTGTTCCAAACTGGACTAATGCTCCCTACTAGTCTCTCCCCTCCACCCCTCTTGTTTAGGCCACCTTTCGGTGAAACTCAACCTCCAGGAGCTTCCTTTGAAAGAGTATGTGGGCAATAAGTTTTTTGAGATCTTGCTTCTCTGAGATTTTTATTCTACTTTTCTCTTAGAATTACAGTTAGGTTGAGTACAGGCTACTATGTTGAAATTCATTTTCATCACAGTTTTGAAGGCATTGCTCCATGGTCTTCTAGCTTAAGAAATCTTAAGTCATTTTGATGCCTGACCCTTTGGGATCTGTTTTTTTCTCTCTGGAAGCTTCTAGATCTTTTCTTTGTTCTCAGTGTTCTGAATGTCATTGATATGTTTCAATGTAGATGTTTCCTTCACTGTATTGGGCACTTGATAGGTTGTTCCAATCTAGAAACACACCCTTCAGAACAGATAAACATTTTGGAGTTTTTTCATTTGGTTATTTCCTCCCATTTTCTTTGTTCTGTTGGGTCTACTGCACTGCCCTTTAATATTTTTACCTAATTTCCCTTCAATCGGTTCTGTTCCCATTTTCCAGGAGATTAAAATTTCTCTTCCAACGTGATTTTTTATTTTTTTCATGTCTGCCACCTTACTAATTTCTAAGAGCTGTTTTTTGTTCTGTTCTATATCCTGACTTCCTGGATGTGAATTCTTTTCTTCTTACTGAGCATATTAATACTTTAAAAAGCTTTCTTGGGCTGGCCAACTGGGTCAGTTGGTTAAAAGTTGGTTAAAAGAGCGTGAGCTGTGAGCAACAGGGCTGCTGGTTCGATTCCCACATGGGTGAGTGACGCTGCACCTGAACTGAGCTGTCACTGAGCTGCCAACAGGTGGCCTGATGGCCCAGCTGGTGTAACAACAAGATTGCCTGTTCAACGGTGGGCTATGCCCACCCGCAACTAGGACTGAACTCAGCACCTTGAGCTGCCGCCCGGATGGCTCAGTGGATAGTGTGTGCGCTCTTAACAACAAGGCTGCTGGTTCGACTCCCGCATGGGATGGTGACTACACCCACCCGCAACTAAGATTGAACACAGCACCTTGAGCTTAGAGGCCACGAGATGCCGATGAATTCCCCAATAAAATCTTAAAAAAAAAAAAAAAAAAAAGCTTTCTTCTTCTGCATAGTATGTATCCTTCAAATGTCTTTGCTGTTTGTGGTTTTGGTGTGTCTTCGATGTTGCAGGACCCC